CTGCTGTTGGCTTTGAAGATGGACGACGAGGCCACAATCTAAGCAGCACAGGCAGCCTCTGAAAGCTCAGAAAGGCTGGGGAATGGCCTCTGGAAGGACTGCAGCCTTGCTGACACATTTTTGACTTTTGATCTCCTGAACCGTAAGATAATACATTTGTGTTAAGTCAGTACATTTGTGGTAATTTGCTACAGCAGCATTAGGAAACTTAACAATTGTGTTTTTTTAATGAAAATTTAGACAATTGAGTAGAGGAGAGATATTTTCATATTTCATTGTCCATGTGAAAATCAATTCATATTGGTGGTGTTAAAGTTCAGGGACCACTTGCTTGTGTTTTTTACTGTCAGATGTGTTCTTCATCTCTATTTTTGTTGCTCCCACTGAGAGCAAAGTCACTCTGTTATAGACTTCAGAACCTGTTTGTATGAAAATAATCTGGATCTTCTGGCCTCTGCAGTTCCCTAATACCATTTATTCATGTTGGTTACATGATTACGCATGATGCTGCCTCGTCTGTTGTGCTGCCTGTGAATACGTGCTTCCAGTGACTCAGTCTGCTAGTGTGCTTCACTGATGATGATCACAAATGCAGGTCTTAAGCAGAATAGACAGAAAAAAATATGAACGATAATTTCTGGTCATGTGGAATTTACTTTTCAAAATTTTGTAATACAAAACAGAACAACGTATCTTCCAACCGTGCTTCTCTTGAATTCTTTAGTGAATTCATGGCATTCCTAAAATGGGACCTCTTATGAGATGAGTGAATGTTGACTTTACTCCTGCCTTCTGTGCATCCACCAGCGGGAAGGAGAGGGGCAGAAGATGTTCGTATTTGTACGTTCTGTCTCTCGAACAGCACAGCTTACAACAGACCCAGGAAAGCACCAGTTTACTTCGTTGATCAGAACCAAGAGAGGACATTGGAAAAAGCCTATTGGTATTGCAGGGCAGGTCTAGAAAGCCCTAGGGAGGTAGGCAGAGCACTCCAGGAACACCGTGTGACGCTGGCTGGTGTGGAGCTTTGTGGAGGTGGGTGGGCCCCTGAATAAGTCCTGCTTGGAAAACATGCTCTGTCAGATGGGTTACCAACACTCCCTGCCTCAGCCCCCAGCCCTCAGCAGGGACGGCCCACATACCCAACACCCTCACCCAGGATTTCCAGCTTGCACTCAATCAGGGTAGGAAGATAAGGAAAATAAACAAATCCCCAGCGTTTACTGCTTTTTATTAGATTAACTGCACCCATTTAAGGACTGTGGACTGATGGCTGTCACCCTCCAGTCAGGTATCTGACTGGGTTGAGTCAAGGGTGGAACAAGAGACCAAGAGTATCATTTTAGGGGTGTTCCTTCATTTGGAAACACAAGAGTAAGGAGCAATGATTCCTCCCAGCAGCTTCTATCAAAGAGTTCTGTTGATAGAGATCTCCGGGATCGGATCCTACGGTCCTGTGGCACCGACTTCGTGCCCTGTGAAGTATTGTCTTCTGTGGATTGCAGTTATGAATTATGAATTTGTCTGTAGTGGTGTGGATTAGTAAATTTTATGGAAATTTTATGGGCCTATTTGAGGTTGTGCTCTTCCAAAGACATTTTGCCTTTGCTTTTGCCAGGTGTCCGGGGATGTTACCTTCCTGAGACTTCTTTTGGTGCTTACTATTTAACTTGTGTGGTCTTGCATCATATTCAGACCCCAAATCTGTGTTAATATGAGGGTAGAGTCAATGTTGTGTTTTTTTTTTTTTTAACCAGAGCCCAGATTAAGACTGGCATGCTTCCTTTAGTTCTGTGTCACTGAATGGATTTCCCTCCCTTTCCACATGTTGAGAGCATAGCTGTTCAGAGTTTTCAGCCTTACTTGGAGGGCTATTCCCCAAATGCTTCACTGGATCTCATGACCATGTTTCCTTCTTGATATAGATCTGTAAATATTCCTGAGTCTGATATAGCGTCAGCTCACATGCTTACTGACTGGGTTTTTAATTAGCTTTGTTTTTGCCTCTGGGATTTCTCTTACTTTAAGAGCTCAAATATACATTTAAAGGATGTTTTCTGGAGCATAATGTATAAAAATATTGAATCATCCTGTTGTACACCTGAAACTAACATAATATTGTAAATTAACTATACTTCAATGAAAAAAAGGACTTTTATACAACACTTACAAGTATTTAAATACAATATTTATACATTATAAATATATTTTTAATCATCATCATTTAAAAGTATAAAATTTACAAGTATTTAAATAAGAAGTGGGAAGGCTTTCAAGTTCTCAAGTTTGCTACTTCTAGGTCTTCACACGTTTCTTCTGCCTAGAATACTCTTCTTCCTTTTCATCTAAACCAGGTGTCACATCCTTAAGGAGCCTCTGTGAGCCTCCACTCCCACCCTCAGTGCACAAAGGTTGTCTATTTGCCCTTATGTGTAGCCTCTGCCAGACTAGATGCTTTGTGAGACCATGCCTGTTAGTTTAGCCCAGCCTGACACTTAGGAGACAATCACGCATTTATGAATGAATGAGTAAATACCTTCTGTTGACTTTTGTTTTTATTTTTAAATGTAAATCTTGTCTTCTCCACAAGATTACTGGCCTCTAGCCTTTATGAATTTTCCTTGGCTCCCAGCAATACAGTAAAACTCCCACTGGTTGTAACTCCAGTGGGGTTATCAAATTTATTAATGAAAACCTGGTAACAAATTTATATACAATAGAAAACAAATATCTTTTTCCCAATTGTTTTATTCCGGTTTTTTTCCATCTTAAAATTCAGCTCTTGTCCAACTGAAAATTTCTAAAAATGCTGTATTGATTTTTCTATTACCCTTTACTGAAATTTCTTTTTCCTTTCTTTATAAAAAATTCAATTTTATGTCAAGTGAGAGAAGATGGAAATCTATTCTTTCACTCAGTATTTCTTGAATACCTTCAAAGCACAAGACAGAAGGCAGAGGTGCTGGTGGGAGGGCTGTGTGATTCAGGTTGGTGTTCTTAGCGCAGGGGAGAATCAAGTATGCTTGAAGGCCTAGGGAATGGAGCCAACATAGAAAAAGAGAAGCAGGTGTTACAGGAAAACAGAGGATTTGTCCTGCCTTCATACACTCCCCAAAGAAGTGCACTACTTACTCTCACAGACTCAGCAAAGCACCCTTAGCATCTGCTTCTGTTGGCTTTCCTGGAGAGCGAGAGCAGCTGTAGCTGAGGCGGTTGTTGACCATGTTTTATGCTTTTCCTCCTTGGTCTGGGTACATCAGCCAGACAGAGAACTCTTGACTTTCAGAGAGCTGGTTGGTGAACGGGAAAGCTTGTGTCTTATGATGGATATGATGGATTGGTGTTGTATAAAGTCTAAAAATCAGCCCTGTTGGGTAAGGGATACAGTGATATGAAGTGAAATGTGGCTCTAAAGTGATTGACTTAGGGGATCTTAAAGTTGGAAGCTATTCTGATAGTTCATGTTCATTCTTCTCTCCCCCACCTTAGCCATACAATCCTGTGTCTTAAATTCCAGTTAGAAAGATGAATTCTAAAACATGCTATTGGGATTGCCATCCGATGATTGAATCATCTTTTTTCCTGTATATTTCACACACACACAAAACGCATGCTCATATACTTAAAATGAGGCAAGCCAAAGAGAACAATCATGCATGCCATTTAATTAGTCAGATTTCTTTTGATTCAAATAATTATTTTGATTCCAGGCGTAATTTTTGTGGATTTTTTATTTTGAAAAAAATGAGTTGTGACCTGGAAACAGTTTTTTTTCTGCCGAAGCTGAATATAGCTTAACGTCAGAGGATATTCTCTGCAAGTTCAAAGTGTTTGTTTCTTATGTGCCTAAAAAACAGAAAATCTTGACATTTGCATGTATCAAGTATATATGTATATAAATATATAAATATATCCTTGCTTGCTGAGAAGTCAGCACAGCTAATAGCAAGAATGTGCGTTCAGAAAAGTTGTCAGATGCTTTCCTTTGATACAAGTAGGGGTGATGTCTCAGTGGATGGAATGTTGAGAATCAGAAAGACTTGAGATGATCAGTTATTTGGGGAGAATCTTAAACTGGACAAATGGCGGTAAGCAAGTCTTACTTCTCCACTGATTTTTTTTTCCATTTGTTTTTCTTTAGCTAGTAAATTTTTTTTTAAATAACAGTTTTATTCATTGTTAATATCCAGTAAGGGTTATTTCTTTAACTACAGCTGAAACTGTGGCGCTCTCTAGTGGTCAGAAAATCTAAAGAAGTATTGTTTACGTGAGCTTTCATTTTATTTTTGCCTTTAGCTTTGTGTACTCGGCATAGCCTAGATGTAGCTCCACACGAAGGGGGCTTGCCTAGTGGCAGAACTACAAAATGAATCATTAATCCTGCAGTGAATTGTACCTCCACGCCTCTAGACTAGCAGCACTGAAGCACGGTGGTACCTGGGATTCTGAAGGCATGGCATTAGCTATTACCAGATGAACTAAAGGAATGTTAACTTTAAAATCTCAAAACCAAATCTGCTGGGTGTGGGAAATCTTGTCTCCAGTGCTTTTAGGTAGACCATTTGATCCAGCAAGAATGGACTTGGGACTTTTTACAATTAAAATTCAAAAGGGGGGCTAAGTAGAATAAATAACCTGCTTTGAAACTAGACAGATCTGGGCTGGAATCCAGCTCATGCCATTTGGCAGGTATTTAATTCTTAAGCCTTAGCTTCTCATGCAACACGAAGATGGTAATAACCACCCTCCATAGCGCTGTTAGGGACTTGGAAGTGGTGAGGTGTATGGAGAATGTTGCCCCCAAACCAGTAGCAAAGGATATTAATAAAAATACTATTACTGAGAGGTGTCTAGGCTAAGGAAGGGAGTTCATTAAACCACATTTTTTTTTCCAGCTTGTGGGACCACAGATTAGCTTGATTAAGGTCTCTCAAACTATTGGGCCCATTCTCCCCACCTAAAATGCAAAGTCCCATAATAATCACACAACACTCCATCTACTTGTTCATTCTTCTTTTTATTTTTACAAAGCACGGCAAAATGAGGAAACAACTGACAAGTGAAGAGTCTGCACAATGGAAAACCACCCTGACCATCACTTGGCATTATAGGGGTCACAGGTGGGTAAGTGTTCCTTTAAAGTGATTTTGTCACAGAAGAGTCATCTGAAACAGTTCTTGTGGTGGGGGGAGAAGGAAAGACAGGAAATCAACATTCACAATTATTTAAAATGACTTAAGAGCTAAACATAATATACATAGTAACTCCTTTATCCTAGTACAAAAATAGTGCCAGAAACTATATATTTGTTCAAATGTATTGAAAAGGTATAAGAATACAAATAGATATTAACAGTGGCTAGTGAAGATTCTTAAGGTTTTCTTTTCTTAAACTGTAATAGAAATTTATATTTTCAACTATATACATGGTTTTCAACATTTATTAAGACATGTTTACACAGGCTTTTGAGAAGCTTATGGAAGGGCAAAGTGAGCTTTAATACTTTCTTCCTCGCTCCCTGTGGTGGAGCAGAAGGGGTCCAAAACTGTGCACAACTTACCAGTCCAGGAGAACTCTGAGTAATCTCTACCTGGCTAGCATATGGAAAAATAATCTATGTAGTGGAATATATATGACTCCTTACTTATATGTGGTGTTCTTTAAGCTAGCAGCAGGCTAAGTGATTCATACTTGTAAGAAGACAGGATGTTCACTGACAATTCTTAGTAAGTTCCAGGTAAAGAAAGTCCTTGGAAAACTATGTAATACATATGTTATAGATGAAAACAAAAGTGACAGATGTACCCTATATTTTCACGTTAAATCTGCAGGATCAGAAGCTGGTCTCTTATCCAACAATCCCTGCAAAGACTGTGAGCTCGGCAAGGTCACTGCTCTGTCTCCACATGTGGAGCACAGTGCCTGACATGTGGCAGGAACTCAATAGTAGGTGGACTGAGCCATGTCTGATACTGAACAGTTATGTTAAATCACTTAATTTTAGCTACAGTTGCTCCCCGGAGAGGAGAGCAGTCACACTTTCGCCCCTCTCAACTTAAATCAATCTTGTGAAACAAAACAAAAAACTAAATGAAACAAAACAGCATTGCTTGTGATGGCCCATAAAGTTTTAGGAATACAATCTGGTGAAAAACACAGGAAAATCAAAAATCAAATTGGAGTAGGTCTAACATTTGTGCTCTATGCTGCAAATAAAGGCACTTTACTGCTAGGCAAGAATATATCTGTGATGGGTTTCCTCCCACAATCCAATATTTCTAGTATATTTTCATACACTTTCTTATCTCCATTACTTCTATTGAAGGAAACTATTTTTCGTAGTAAAGAGATCAGTGGTGACAACATCGTCGTCCAGGGTTTGTACCTTGAGGTGAGGCGCTCAAAGAGCTCTAAATCTCACACTCGCTAGTGATCGGCATGAGAAGCCAAATAAATGTACTGTCTTTTTTCAGTCTTGGAAACGCAGCGCAGGAAATGACGCATGGGATTAGATGGCGTGCTCTGTGGCCTGAAAGCCCATTTCTGACAGTGGCCTCCAGGGCCCGTTTGGGCTTACACAGTAGCTACCTTCTGTGACATCCTCCTTGGAGACAAGGCTTAGCCTGAACATAATTCCTTTAATAGCGCAACTTGTTCACGCCCACAGAAGTTAAGAGATTTACAGAAGTTCCCACAGGATAGTGACCGGCAACACGCAATCCTATGGGAAGTATAGGGCCAGGAATTTTATAGACGTCTTCTTACAACTTAGTAAAATAGTGGGGACTTTGGGGGCTGAAAATTGAAATGAAATGGTATCATGTTATTCAGCTATAACAAAACCAAACAAACTAATCTAGAAAAAGAACAGCTTCTTGCTAGTTACAGGTGATACAGAGCAGGGTGAGGGAAGACTACATGTATATATTTTAACAACTTGAAAAGACACTGGAAAGGAAATATTCACATAAGAACAAAGTTTGTGCCCAGGTACCAGATATATACCCATGTATGGAATGATTTTCCTAAAAATTAAAAATTATTTGAACCAACTAACCAGTTCTAAAAAAGCACTTTTCTTCTGTATGATCTAAAATATCCCAAAATAAAATAAAATAGGCATGGCATGGCCTAACCTCTTTCAATTTCTAAACTAGTAAAGTAAAATAAACCATTATCTAAAGGTAAACCAAACAATTTCTAACCTAAATATATCTTCTTGATTATTAAAATGACACACATACAAATCCTCCAGACATAGTCTACTATATCTTTAAAAAATCTCAGTGACATATATTAGAGGGCTGTAGACAAACTACTAAAGTATTTGACTACAGATTTTAGCATAACGGCTAAATCACAATGTGTATGACAAAAAGATAGGTTATTAAAGACTGCTATTCTTAAAACAATTTTTCTACACTAGGGAATTATGTCTGCATGCGTAGGTGTATACCGATACGTAGATACATTATTTTAGCGACAACCTGTGTAGATTACACACCAGTGCCACCAAGAGTCAACCTTACAGATCTCATGTGTATGACAGAAAATAAAAACAGAATAACATCCTAAAAATGCAAGTGTTACAACAACAATAATAGTACATATAACATTAAACAGTTGAGAACCTTCTAGGCTAGCCTTTACCACTACAAAGTAATGGCAATACAATTTGCTTTGCTTTTTTTTTTTTTTAACCTGAACGGCAAGAATAAAGCCAGTTTATGTCAAGATACATACACACGCACATAATTTTAAAAACTTAATGAATATGTTGAATTTTAGGCAGTTTAGGGGGAAAAAAGGATATGAACGGAAAACAACGTTTTAGTGAAAAGTCTTCAAGATACTGTATTACCATATCCCTAAGAGATTTTCTATCCAAACTAGTGATAGAGACTTAGAAACTTTTTTAGAGGGTAGGGAAAGGGTTTAACAGACCAAATAAATACCTCTCTTCCTACTCTTCCCCGAGTCCAAACAGTACCGCATATTTGGAGCAGATTTTCTTTTCCTGAACCAGGTGCTCAATTCATTATCCACTTGTCCAGTATGGAAGAAGAGTGCTTTTAGGGGCACACATGTACAACGGCAATACACTTACATGGGCTCAAGTTCTGAGAAAATGTTAACATTTTCTAAATGTACTAAAATAAGCTAAGAGAAGTAGGCACCACCAACTACAAGCTCAGGACCAGTGTTTAGGGTGTTTACCCAAACTTCTGTGATTCTGGGTTGACTAGTCCTGTAAACCAAAATATGGCAGTTTCTCAATCAAACTCAATCCTGCTAAGCTTTTCTCAGGCTTAATGTTTCTTACCATATTGCTCCCTCAGTTTAATTTTTGACCCCAATATCAAGGATAGCCCTTTGCTGTTTATACAATTAAAACTTTTCTCTATACTCCATTTAACAAAGAGAGAGAGAAAAAAAGAGATTCATTCTGTACCCTGTTATCCTACATAGTCATATCTCGCTGCAAGCCAGTGCTCCCACGATCACTTTTTCTTGCTTTTCTCTTGAGTTTTAAGATGTTAACGTACAAAGTATGGCTTATAAGGTGAACATAAGGAAGTTATTTTAAAAGGAAGTTCAGTGTTCAAAACACTCACTGAATCTCAGAAGTGTCCTCCAGCAGAACATTTACTTCACTGCCAGACAGCCTTGGCCGTTCCATCTCTGGATCACACTCGTCCCTCAGTAAAGTAGAAAAATCAGTGCTGGGTCTTCTCCCACAGTCTCCCCTGCTTTCCATCAGATAGGGTAGACTGAAGCAACTTTATAGGTAGCCTTTGGATAGATGTACTGCACTGAAATGAGAAATTTCTCTCCCACCTGTTCTCTAACAAAAAAAAAGCAGATTAATTAAATTTTAGCTTTTCTTTACAATATTGCCTTCCAGTACTTCCCATTTGTTTCAGAGTTTCAATTTTTTTTTTGTTAAAGTAAAACACTGTCGACAAATATACCCCATTCCCCTTAAAATCCACTCAGCCAATGTTTTTCTCTATCCTATGAAGGTTTTAAATGTCACAGAATATATTCAGTTTGCTCCTAGCCTATTTTTGAGAAAGAAAAAATTCCAAACATTCTTGAAAGACTGGTAATTCAGAAAACACAAAACCAATTATTTAAAGTCCCCAAGCAAAACAAACAAACAAAAACCATCTCAGTGCAAGAATGCAGCTTGTACTTTGCAGTACACAAAATATCACAAATAGCGCTGTTACCTAAGTGCTAAGAGTGGGGGTCACTGATAATCTCAGTTCAGTGGCATAAAACAAATATACAGAAAATATGCAAGAGTCTTCTAAAAACATTTCATGCTATGCTGTCAAAAGTTGTGCAAAAATAAAAATACAGCAGTGGCAGAGTATACACCAAATCGGTACAGTGTATATAGCAAAACTAGGCATACTGCAGAATACACCGTCTGTAAACTTCAACTCTGTGTGAACAGGCCACTCAGTTCCGCTTGGCCTGGCTGCTTTCCCCATTAATCAGCGTCTTCTCCTGCTGTTCTGCAAGAGCCTGCCATTTTTGCCTGTTCTTTCTGCAGCCATCTAGCAAAGGGAAGCAGTCCTCCGACACATGGGTCAGGGCCTAAAGAAAGAAAAAGAAAGCCAATGACTCAGAAGGCAGCCAGGAATGAGCCCTCTCCGCAGGCCTGTCCCAATGGGCCATGTCGCACCCTTACTTCATGAGCAGACCACTGCTGGGGTTTTCACAACCTGTGTGAACATACACACAGATCACTTATGAGTGATTTCTCTTAAACTATATAGACAAAGCATACATGCTGAGACAGAGAGAGCAAACGCACACATTCCAAAATGACACTGCTGAGCTGGGAGACAGATCTGTGCGGAATCCGCTTTGCAGGAAAATAATCCATTTTGCTTTTATGTACTACAGATGGCTCTCCCTGAGTGGTGACTGCATTGAGAGCTGCTTAGTTTTTGTGTTTTTCTATAAAATGATTTTATACAATGTACTTAAGTAGATTTTTATCCAAGATTATAATAATAAAGATTAATTTATAACTGTTATGTGGCATTATTATTTACCAACTATAGTGCCTTAAATATTTAGCTACAAGAATGCTCACTGCAGATTTCTTTGTAATAGACAAACATTGGAAGTGACTTAAGTACCCAACAACAGAGTTAGGAATATTGTGTTACATTTTGCAGCCATTAAAAATGTCATAGAAACACATTTGAAACAGAAAGACATACAGTATAATATGGATTGCAAAGCAATTTTTTTAAACGAAAAACATCTAAAAATACAGTATATACACAAAAATGAGATAACAGTGGTTAAGTGGAATTTTAAGTGATTTTCTCTTTTTGCTTCTCTGTATTCTAATTTTTCTCTACAACATATTACTTCTGTAATAAAAGTAAAATGCATATCTATGATTTTTCTCTAACAAATGACTTCTGTAATAATAGTAAAAATGCATATTTATATCCATAGAATTTAACAGCAGATTCAGAGAAGATGAATCCTGGCACAAATATGAAATGTAGAAAGATGAAAGCTATAATGGGTGATCTGATTGTTATTTTGACTATATTTACAGGAATAGAGGGGGAAAAAAATCAAGAGAGACATTAGTATCTGCATCCAAGGAACTCTTAGGCCAAACCATAAGGAAAGTACCTGCTTTGGAAAGAAGGAGTGATCCAAGGGTGTTGGGGACACTCCTCCGAACACACTTCTGCACAGGAGTGAACAAGCAGGTCGCCGAGAAAGGCAGGAGACAGCGGTGCAGAGGCATAACACCTACACCTGATGTTCTTTTGTCCCTTTTCTTCCGCTGTCTTTCCCGTCCTTTCCTCCTCTTTTTTCCCTCATCAGCCACAGCTTCTTTATTAAATTCATTTGATGACTAAAACCCCAGATCCACACAAGAACTGGCCTCTGAGTGCAGTTCTCCCACTACCTGCCTGTTTGGCTGGGACAGACATTCCCTCTCCCTGGGAGAGGGATGTCGCAGAGCCAGTGACTGATCTGTGAGATGTCTGGGTTAGAAGATTTCTAGGGTTTCTTCTGGTCTTGACAGTCTGTGATAACTCCATGATAGATGTTCTTTTCCCAAATAAGTAAAGTTTAAGAGTGTCCTGTTTAAACTTTTAAAGACCAGGACAGCATCTACTTTCTGTATTGGGGCATAAACATCTAAGCTAGTAAACTAGATGTTTTAGGGAGAGTATCTTTACCAAAACCCCCAAATAATAATAATAATAATAATAATAATAATAACAACAACAACAACAACAACAACAACAACCCCAAGCCAACAGGTCTATGGAAATGGGAACCTCCAATATTCTTCCACCTTCTTTTAATCCTTATAAAAATGTTCTTAACAATAGTAAAGCCACACACACTATGACATAAGAAAAAGGTTACATAATTCTTTTTCCTTATTTAGACTTAGAATATGCTAACATGGAATATGCACACTATACCTCCTTGAGGGACATGAGTTTTCTTAGCATTTCCTGCATCAGTTTGCTGGAGCTTATTTAGCACACAGTAGGCACCACTCAGTTGTTATACATTGATGAATTAAAGTTTTTGAGAAACAGTAGATATAAAATATATTCCTTGATCAATACAAACGGCATATTCCTTAGCAAAAGAAATCATCCTGATAATTTTACTTCCAGTTTCTTGATTAAGAAGCAAATAATCTCCTGGTGTTAACTGCTTCAATTTATTTTAGGTTTTAATTCATAACATGGTCAAAGTTTAGTAAGTCTAGTAGTTTTCATAATAAATACCTCATACAGTTGCAAGCAGATGGCATCTATGAATCCAACTTGCATACTTGGGATTTTGTTTTTCTTCTCCCTGTTCATTAGATCCTGAAAACACAGAAACAGACACATGGATCCGCATTTACATAAAGAACACAATGCAAGTTGGCTTTAAAAAGCTGCACTGCTAGGTGAGCTGAGGGAGGCTGGACACCTGCCTACCTGCCTCCTTGCCTTCTTGAGCCTCCTGCACCTCACACCACACCATGCTCAGGAAGGCCCTGGCCCTCTCTCCCTTGTTTGCCAGCTGTGACTTTTCCCATACGAACCCCTGAACTGATCGCTGACCTAGAGTCAACTGCTGACCTAGAGTCCATTGCTGACGTGTATTTGGAGAACACACATGCTTTCACATTGTCTACTGATGTGGAATCAAACACTCTTCAGCTTGTGGAAGAAGCCACTGAGGCCACACTTAATTACAACTCAATTCACACGCAGAGCTTTTTGAGTGAAGATTACGCAGGTGTCACTGCTGCTTATTCTCAGGAGCTCCTGACTGGGCACCAGATGAGCTCAGCATCTCCACAGGAGGCAAAGCATCTCAGTGCTTGTTTAAAATGAAACAAGTTTTCCATTACCTGTGACCATCACTCTGCTACCCGTCATTTTCTGAGAAGATTCTGAGCTCCTGAAGAAGCTACTACTACATCATAGGAGACTAAATAATTGCTGAAGGCTAATGAGACAGGACATCCCCAGCTGAGGATGAAGAGCAGAGTGGAGGGAATGGCACACAGGGGAGGGGCAGCTCGTAACTATGTCCCATTTCATATGGGCTCAATAAATGTCCATCTGAACTGAAAAAAAAAAGAAAAGAAGGAAAAGACTCTATGCTTCATTTCCAGGAAAAACTTCTCCAACGGTCTATGAAGAATATTCTTCTGGTATCTGACATTCCCTACTCTATGCAAAAAGGCAGTATGTATCAAATTTTTTTAAAATCTGTGCACCCCAGAACAGCAATTCTGGGAATTTATCCTAACAAGATCCTGAAAAATGGCACACAAACGTTTAGTAACATAGATGTTTATCAAGTGCTGTTTGTAATGGTGAACTCTGTAAACGTTATACCTAATGGTAAATTATGGTTACATCTATTTCATGTACGCATTATAAATGATACATAAGAGGGCATCTGTTAGAAAGACATTTAAATGGAAAAAGCAAATTGCAAAAGTAGGTATGACATGATGCCTCAGAGTCCTTTTTTGTTCTCTGTTATTTGCTTGTTTTCTACAACAAACATGTATAATTCTTCCAGTAAGAAAAAAGGTTTTAAAAATGATGAGAAACTGCTTTCCTAAGATCTCACAGAAACATGAAAAGAAGTCTACAGTAGAAAGTATATATGAGTAATACCTGCCAACAAAGTCTCATACTCACAGTGGGCTCTATGTTGAGTTCTTTTCTCTCTCTGTCTCCTTGGTCAAAAAATTCAGTCGCAACAAGTTCTGCTATCTGAAATCAATAACAGACTAAGTTTTGGTACTTAAAAGCATATCACCCTGTAAAACAGAGACTTTGAGGATAATAAAATCTATCAAATCTGTAGCTTTCAACCACATCAGTAAAATTAGAATAAAACGGTAATAAGTAACAGAAATTATATTTCATTTGTTTTAGTGTGTACCTAATCACAAAGGCTAGAGTTGGTAATCTGTAACTACATAGAAAAAAGCAACATGTGATTTCAACTTGAGCAGTTAGTGGGGAAAGCACCGCGTACCCCTGTGTATGCATAATCAACGAGATACTTGTCAAGCGCCTGTTATAGCAGGTGCTTTGAAAAACACAGTATCAAATGGGTCCACATACTGAGACTAACTGATATGTCTTTTAAGTTTGTTTTAATCTACCAGTTCCTCCTCTTCTAATTTCAGTTGTTGTTGAATAACTGAGTGGTTTATCCTGCAGTTTCCCACTGGATTTTGCTGATGGCTTTCCCGTGATGAAATTTAATGTCTCTCTGGACCCTGTTATTTCCATACACCAGTAAAGAGAGCTAGACACTTGATTAGATTGAGATTTGAAATTTTTTTGGCCATGACTATTTCCTAGGCAACGCTGTGTATTTCTATCAAGGCTACAGAATGCCTGGTTGCCCCTCTCGGCCCCTTCATGATCTTTGCCTAGATTCATTCATTGAGGGGCTGCAAAAAGGTGATGGGCAATGCAAAACAAACATTCCTTCTTCCTTTGTAGCAATAAAATTCCCCACATCAATTATTTAGTTACCCTAAAGTACAATTTGTATAAATAAAATAGGACAAATACTTGATTTTCTCCACTTTAATTACCATTAAAAAAACTTGGTTCTCAAGCATCCACAAAAGATAACTCTGGAAGGTTGTGCTTTATTATTATCTTGAACTCTTGGATTTAAACATACTTAATGCATTTAAATCCTTACTGATGCTCACTGTTCCATTTTGGCCAGTTGAGAAAGCTTAAAGTTGGCTTCTTTGTTTTCCTGACACAGCTTTATCAGTCTTTGATAAAGTCTTTCTGCTGTAATACGATGTTCTAGGCTCATCTTGTACATATCCTGATTTGGAACTGCAATCAGCCATTTCTTCATGTAGGCCTCCTTCCTTTAACTGAGGTATTTAGAAACCTCAATCTGGGCACTAGTTTCATTTGTTACTACCAGGGTGATCGTCATTTTTAAGCCCTTTCAATGGACGGAGCTAAGACACAACGTAAGTTCATACAGTATTTCCTATTCAAATTCAGGACTGCAGGATTTCCAGAAACCCTTATCCACCCTTTTTTTTTTTTTTTACTCTAGCGAGTCTTTATCTTTCCACTTACACTGAAAAAATCCTACTTCTCAACAATACCAATATAATTTCTCCTTTGCTGTTATCCCACATCACCCACAATGGTGGCTGGATATCTACATAAAATTACCACTAATATGATTACTGAAGAACAGTTTGAAGGCTTTTTTTTTTTCTCGGTAGTTCTTTTTGTTCTTGGTGTCCATCCCACTAGCGTTACATGGTCAGATTACTATTTTAATGTCACTTGGACAAAAACAGTCCCTCTTAGTGTGGTTTTGCAATCAAAATCAGGTTTGTTTCATTTCATTTTCAAGATTTAGTGATTTTTTTTTAAAAAATTCAAATTTTGGAATTATAAAAACAATTTACATGGTTCCTAAATAATGTCTACAAAACAAGTACATGCAAGCAACTCCAGCTTATATGTCTCTGTTCCCTCAATCTTACTCCCTTCTTCCCTGTGGAAAATCATTAACTCTTCTGTAGTTAATCCTTATTTTTTTTTAAAAAAAGGAAATATGTACATATACTTTACCCCCTTCTCAGATAAATGGTGGCATACCATACCCATTTTTCCCTGCCTTTTTTTTCACTTAAAAATATATCCTTATATACTCCATAGTAGAATACAGATAGTGCTCATTTCTTTTTACTGTTGCAAAGAATTCATCATGTAAATGTACTACAATTTATTCAATCAGTACCCTATTAATGAACATTTGGGTTATTTCCAGTCTTTGCTATTACAACCAGCACTAAAATGAATAACCTTTTGTAAATGTCTTTTTTATATTCTTGCCAGTATATTTTTCGGATGAGATTCCTGGAAGTAATGGTAAATGAATAGATGTATTCATATACTTCCAAAGGGCTAAAGTATTTTGTATTCCTTATTTTCTCACAACTTCCCAACAGATTATGATGTAAAACTTTTGGATGTTTGCCAGTTGGACAGTTGAGAAATAGTATCTCAGTGCTTTTTTTAAAAAAATGAAGTCAAATTACATACTGGGAATTTCACAGACTACAGATATACACATCAGTGTATTGACAAATGCATATAACTATGTAACATGCACCCACCCAAAAAACAGAATATTTCTGTCACCCAAGAAGGTGCCCTCAAGCCCCTTCCCAGTGATTCCCTGCACCACGCTTCCTCCCTCCCCACCCAACTACTGTTCTAATTTCTTCAACTGTTGATTAGTTTTGCCTACTCTAGAATGCCACATAAATGACATCACAGTAAGTATCCCTTTGTGTCTAGCTTCTTTGTTCAGTATAGTGTTGATGAGACCTATCCACGTAGCTGCCTGTTATCAGTGGTCAGTTTCTTTTTACTGTTGAGCAGTATTCCTCTGTGTGAAGGAACAGTACTACATACAATATGTTAACCATTCTCCTGCTGAAAGAAGTCTGGATCGCTTCTAATTTCCAACTATTAGGAAAAAACTGTTAAGAGAGCCTGTACAAGTTCTTTTGTGTCCGTGTAGTTTTAATTTGCATCTTTTCTTATGACTGAGGTTCTGAGAACCTTTTCAAATGAGTAGGAGTCATTTATTTGCATTTCTTTTTCTATCAACTTTTTCAAATCTTTGGCCCATTTTTTCAGTAGGGTTGTTGGCTTTTTTTTCTCTATTTTTTAGAAGTTTCTTAATATTAGGGATATTAACTATCTGATAAAAATTGCATGTATTTTTACCAGTTCCTCATTGTCTTTCTTTGCTATAGTGTCTTTGCCGTGCAAGAAGTTTTATTTTTTCATTTTCATGTAACCAAATTTGTCAATCTTTTCCTTTATTATTTCTGCGTGTTGAGCCACGGTTAGGAAAGTTTTCTCACTCCTTGGCTGTAAAAGAATCCACAAATGTTTTTACTGAGTACTTGTATGGCTTAATTTTCTACACTGAACTCTATGCCCCATTTGGAATTTAGGTATGCAGAATAGATCCAATTTTGTCTTTTGCCATCTGGCTATGAAGATGGGAAAATCGTCCTAACATTTAGTAAGTAGTCTGTCTTTCCCCAGTTATTTGAAATGCTATCTTTATTATATATTCAATGTTCTGTGCAATTCTCAATGCTCTATTCAGTTCCACTAGTCTGACACCAATACCAAACTGTTTAAATTATAGAGGCTTAACAGTGTTGCTTTTTATGTCTGGACCCCAACTTCATTGTTGTACATTTTCAGGGTTTACTTCTGAAGAAAGAAAAGGGTAATTGAAAAGACAAATTCTTCCCTTTTCCATCCTCTTTCCTGTTTGGAAATGGGCATATAGTCCTGTTTATTATGGAGCAGGAAGATCTGTAAAGAACACATTTCTCGAGCGTTTATGGCTTACAAGCTTCGGCACACAAAGAGCACATTTCTGATCTGGTTTTCTCAGCACGTGTGTTTCATGAGATGAGCCTGTCACTGCTGGGCTCTGTGACTATGCAGCTCAGAGCCACGACCAACAGTCAGTAATCTCAGGTAGTACCTTTAGTATTCAAAATGCAGTCTTGAAAACCAAAAACACAATATACACATCATTGCATGTGTACCCATCCCTTTTTTAAGCCTAGGACCTTTATTGCCTCTGCAAAATGTTATGGCAGTTACTTATTTAGAGAGAGGATGTATTTCTAGCCTCCTGGCCCACAGGCCCTGATCAGATCCTTCCTGACATCCTTTATTAACATGTCCTCTAGTTACAAGCCCCAGAAATGTTTGTGTTCTACTTGTTAATGTCATTTAGAGTTGAGGTATAGCCTAGTAGGCTATCTATAAGAAAAATAAGTGCTTCTTCTAATTTTTAAGGTTACTAAAGGGATGTGTTTAAAAGAAATCCTCAAGTGAGCCAGAAGTAGTATTACTGGAATGAAACGTTATCAACAGCTAGGTTTTTGAAATTTTAATATAGATGCTCTTTCTTAACATATCTTAAAACTATTAAGTGCTATTGATTCTTCTAAAAAAAAAACTGTTCACGTCCAATTATCTGTTTTTAATACTACCTAAAATTTAGGAAAAAAAGTTCCACAAATACATCAAAAGCTACATTTAAGAGTAAAGATTTTTCTTATTTTGACTTTTTAATTGTGACTTCTGTCGTCACCAAGCAACATACCCGCTGTTGAATAGGCCAGGGTTTGGTAATTGCAGAAAGGTCACAAGCTGTCATCAGCATCGCTCTGTTAAGGGAAAAGAAGCGCAACACTCCTGTTTACTTTTATGTGAATGAAGCCCTCAGTAGGTAGTTACTAATAAAAAGTCAAATTGAAACCCTCGAAACTGCAGGAATGGCAGTTTATAAAGACTAAAGAAACAATTTATATAGCAGCAGGACTGATACAGTGATACCACAATGTCACTGTTTTGGTTACCCAGTGAACTACTGGAATTTGCCCTCAAACTGCCTCATTTAGTTCGACTGGCAGGAGGAGAGAAATGATTAATCTCTGGGCAAAAATTTGCCTGCTAATATATATTTTTTTACCTTGGTCTTCCATTCTCAGTGACAGTGCAGTGAAAACACATCGATTACTAATAATTAACCATTAAAGGATAATATCAGATAGCCTACTCATGAAGGTCCTGTGACAGCAAGAACCTAATTCACTTGACACATGTAGTGACTCCTGTGTGAAAAGCCTCTGAATTATTAAACAGTATCTGCTGGAGAAAAAGAGGGAAGTGAAAGGATAGTGCTCTGTACTCCCTCTCTCATCAGAGGAGCTGTAAACCAAGCTGGACTTGAGTCTGTGACCAGATACTCTAGAATTCAGTAGTGTGACTATTGTGGAAAATGGTCCTGTGTTTAGTGCAGTGTTTTCCCATGTCAGATCCAAATACCTGCCATCTAATCCTTTTAATTTGAAGTAAGAGGCAAAAAGGCCATCACTGTCATTTAGAAACACTCAAGGTTAAGGACCATATCATTGGTCCCTCTAGGGAGACCCAACTTGAAAGTACATTCTCACTACCCATCCAAGGCCACAAAGAAAATGGTTTTCTGCTGCTATTCTATCTCTTACACCAACTCTTTCACAAGTAATGAGTGCCCAGAGATATTTAAAAATCACTGTTTGGGCCCATTTTTATGAAGGGTTTCAATAACACTTGCCAATACAAACTGTCTCCCCCAGAGAAGACTATGTATGCACGTATATGAGCTTAACTGCAGTCTGGAAAGTGAAGAGTGGAAGGGGCGAAGCTGAGCACCACACGTACTGGGCGCTTCTCTGCAAGAGGTCAGAGTTAGGGTGAAGCAGCGAAAACTGTAGCACAGACTTGGAATCGAGGTCAAATTCCTTTTTTGAGAAAAACTCCACAAATCACAGTAGCATGTCTAAGGCACTGTTCTGAAAAACATGTTAAGACTCAAGTGAAGCATGACTATGCAGAACAGACAGCTGGGCATTTGTATATTGTTTCCTTGTAATTTGCATCTTCTCATGTTAAGTACTATCAGTCTATTTAAAGAAATGTTGACTACACAGTTGTAATAGAGCACCATCCTTAGTATCGCTATGTCTGTCTTTTTCTGTATTGTTAACCCTTTGTTCTTTTTGATTGATCCAGTTCTTGCCATGACAGAGGCAGTGACGACAGTTAACAGAGGATGGCCCCCATAGCTGCCGGGGAGGGATGGGGTACAGGTGAGAAAAAGCAGAAACCCTGAAGTTCTGACAGTGCTACTCGGCATCACACAAAACGAGTAAACACATCACAGCTGCCTTCTCGCTCACACGGTCTTTGGGAGGCTGTTTTCAGGTCTTCCATTCCAAAGAATTGGGAACATGAACAGGGGAACCTTGTAGCCTTGTGCTGATAACTCTCCACATCTTAAAGGTCCTTTCAGGACAAAAGAGTGATTTATTCACTTGAATTTGCAAATGCATTTCTTTTCAAGTAAATACTCATATTCAGCCCTTTGTACAATACTCTTGAGAATTCTGACAGCCTCTGAGATCATCACATTGTAAGAAATAATTGCAATAAAAGTATTTAGGTAACAAAGCTTTAAGAATAATTATCCTACTTACAAAAACAACTCCTTTTGATGAGGATCTTCCAAATTGAATTGATTTTTTCTTATAAGTTCAAAAAATTCTCCTCTCCTCCTTGAAAATAAAGAAACATATTTGGTAGATACGATGCATCCCCCAAGCTCTTTTATCCCTTTGGTCTACAAAGACTCATGGAGTAAAATTTGGGGGGGGGGATCTCTAGTGGATTTCTTCTCATCTTAGAATCCAATATAAAAATCATTTAAAAATTTTGATACCTCACTTTTCTCTCTTCTATCATATTCTTTGGTTGAAACATTAAATTTCACCTCCTCTTTAACTACAGATCACAAATGATGGTAATTTCAATTCTTAAACACGATTTTAAGAAAAGGAAGCAAGATGAGTTAAATATTTGTTGCCGAGAATGATTTAAGGAACTTTGTGTATGGAATAGTAAGGTCTGCATGGTTTCAGTTTAACTTCACAGCTCTCATTCACATTGTGGGGCACAGGGAAGTGTTCATCATGGTCACTCTGCATCAGGATGAGGCTGTGAAGTGCTTCTGAGCAAAGACAGACGAGTCAAGTGTAAACTGATATCCATTCAGTGTTTAGTGGATACCTCCGTGTGCCCAACATTATTAAGCATCTTGAGAAATTATAAGACATAAGTTCTTTTCAGTTTGTTTGTTTGTTTGTGGGGGTAGTAACTAGGTTTATTTATTTTATTTCATAGTGGAGGCACTGGGGATGGAACCCAGGACCTCGTGCATGCTAAGCAGACACTCTGCCACTGGGCTATCCCCTCCCCACCCACCTTTTCACAGTGTTTCAAATCTAGTCAAAGACACAAGACAAACATGAGAGAAACTTACATAACAAAACTGACTCTGCGATTGAGTACCAAAAATGAAAACAGGTTTCAGAAGGGCTCAGAGGAGAGACCTATGTGGCCTGAATAGGCTGAGAAATCTTTGTGATTACAGGTATTTTTTAAATTCTTTGTAATTTGATAACCTTTATTCTGTAATTATTTTGAATAATCTGAAATTTACTATATATACATTTTTACCCTAATTTAAAGTACTCTAAAAATCCAATGAAACAGACTCTTTTAGATGCAGTTACTTTTGGGTATACAATAGTGGATATCTGGTATGTGTTTCTGTGTGTCTGTTCTATTTGTTTTTACTTCTCAGAAGAGTGGCTAAAACCATAATGTGGATCCCTGTCCAGAGGGAGAGAGAGGCCCATGTTCCAGGGAAATCCCGTAAGTGTGACAACCTGACTCCCCCGACTCCCACACATGCAGCAAAGATCTCCATCACTATGTGGGAAACGAATGTTTGCCCCAGAGCAGCAAAGTCCGTCCTCGCTTTTAGAAAGACAGTTTAATTATGCAAATACATATATATTACTAATACCACTCTGATGCATACTTTAATTTCTGAATCATTAACTTCATTAATTAAAGTTCTGAATTAATACTCCTCCTCTGCCAAAATCCAATAAAAGAAACAAGATTTACTTGTCTGGCACTCGGCTCCTTTTCCTGCCCACATAGGCTTGGATGACAGTATAAAGGAATTGTGAAATGGTCAGAAATTGGGGGAGTGAAGGAAAGGAGGAAAAGCAAATGGCCTATATAATCTTTGGATTGGCCAACCAACTTGGAATGACCTTGAGATGGTTATTTGCTTTGCACATAGCTTCAGAGACAGAGCAGTGGATAAACATCAGAAATAACTCTATTCTGTAATTTCCAGTGTTAAGTAAGGCGAAGGAGTAGACTTTTCTGGCCATAGTCTGATAAACAGCTTTGTCAGGACATTTGTCCTTATAACTTAAGAATATCCCAGTGCAGATTTTTAAAGTTGGAAACAATGCAAACACATCCAGGACTTATTTATCTCAAGATATTTCTTAAAACTTACTTAATGTATAGTGCTAGGTCTGTAGCTAAAATAGCTTGCTTGATTATTTTCAGCGTGGTCTTATATTCTTCAATGGAGAGGCCGCCAAGAATCTGATTGCCCTTTACAAAAAAAGGAGAACCATCATTAGCACTCCACCCAGAGAAGAACAAAATCTGAAAATTTTCTCTTAAATACATGCCTAATATTCTGAACTGATGATGGAGGACACCTGCTTATGTAAAGTAAACACCATGAAATAACATTTGTTCTCTATGCTCCCACCCCACGGCCTTGTCATATAAGAAAAAACAGCTTTATAAGAATTCATCAGCCTAAGTACATGTGTTATCCCATCTCTTCTACTCCTTAGGCCTTAGTCCAGGCCTAAAATCTAAGAACTATGTACCTCCATCCTTTGGGCAGTTTAACTACTATTATCTGACAGCATGTGAAACTTCGAAAACTCAAAAAGTGTATTATAGTAGTTGTGAAGAACAGAGTGATGAAATGTTTAAAATACTGATTTTTTAAAAGAGTAATTTCTCTATGGCTTTTGTAATACATCCAATAAGACTTTCGGTGCAAATTTGTATAATTTTCACTTACTATAGAAAACTTTGTATTCCTTAGGAACATGCCAATAGAGACAGGTAGAGGGCATGAGCCAATGGTGTGCCTACGGGTGCAAGGGTTGAAGCATCTATGAGGAGTATTTAAAAGGCAGCTAATCCATGTGCAAATTATCTAAAGTGTTTGCTATGTAACCATTTTTTATTTCTTACCTGTAATTTAAATTACAGTGGCTCTCTAATCTTGAACTAAGTAAAGCACACCTCGAGTACTCAGAATATACTGAAAAACGACATTTGTAAATTGATTCAGATGTACTTTCTAAAGCTCAGGGCTGAGAAAAAAACCCAGAGGCTTAGAAATGGGATCTGGAGGCAAAGGATTTGTTCTGAAGAAAGGAAACTGCTTCAGTGTGCTGCGCTGGGGCCAAAACACTGGTTAGCACGGATTACTAGACACTGAAATTGTGGCACGTGTCTAATTAATGAATCTGTGATTATACCAGAAACATTATTTTAAAATATGAAGTCACTTTAGGTTCTGCGCGAAACAGAAGACTATTCAAAAATACCTACCAATACTTTTATTTTTAAGATAAAACCGCTTCAAGTGGAAAAGTGGAAATGTCTTTTGGTATTACATTTTTATTTTCCAAAAGCACAGACTGTAAACTCTTGTGTACTGGTGCTTAAAAGACAGAATATATAGATGGGTCTTAAAATGTGAGGCCAGTCATATATATATCATGATTCCTTATATGTAAAATAATAACATATTACATAACAGGTTATCTAATAACAGAGGTAGCTATGATAGGCATACTGTTAAATATCCTTTTTGAAAAATTTAGCATATTTTCTTTCTTTAAAACTAAATAGGATATTAAAATGAAAGTTTGAGCCGAAGCACAAAGAGAACAAATTCCAAGGAAGGTACAGATGTTTCTGCTATAACTCGACATACACATTCTTGAAAAGTCTCAGTTCGGAAAAAGTACACACTAAAAATAACATGCTTTATGGGAAAACCAGTGTTGGGGGAGACTACTCAAAACCCATGCAACTCGATAGCCAGAGCACAGACCAAATCAAGGACTGGTACGTGTGGAGGTAACTTGAACAGGCCAGGCTGGCAAGTCTGGAGGCTGCCTCTGAGGATGTTAAAGAAGCACAGAAAAACTGAGTGGAAACACTGGTTTGTGGAGGCCCGGAGACAACGCAGATGGACTAAGGACACTGAGACCGTGGGGCTGCTATTAGGGTGGACTCTGCAGGAAGAGACGGGACTAAAGCAGTCCAAGGGAGCACGCCTCAGGGGCAAGTGCCCATTTTCGTGTTCTTAAAACAGAACGGAGAGGGCTGCACGTGCAGGAGCCAGGCAGATGGCTTTTTCCTTCGTCGCTGAAGGTCAAAATTCAACTCCCATAATTCTGGGGTGAGGAAGGGCTCAGAAGAAACATAGGCAGGGACAAAAGAAGCCAACCAGGGCAATGAGAGAAAGCCTGAAATGTTAAATCAAGTCCAGAATCAGGACTATTACACAGGACTTGACATTTTCGTTTCTAAATTGAGAACTGTGTGCTATATTTTGGGACCTAAAGTAACTAGATGATTTTTACTTATAAAAGAGTGACCAGAAAGGTCAAGGGCCTCCTGAGTTTTCTTCTAGGACTCAGGAAGAACTAGCCCCAATGGGCAAGTGTAAAGACATGGTGATAAAATTGCTTTAATTCTATACCATGCACTGTGCTTGTTCAATGTAGGAGTTGCAACTTTCAGATTTTTCTTATTATAAAAGTAATACATGCAGACAATGGATAGTGTGAATAATGAACAAATCAAAATCAGAAAACAAACAAGTATTAATAATTTAACTAAACAAACCAGCCATTGTGAGTATTTTGGGGTTTATCATTTTAATCTTATTTTCATTAACATAAGTAGGTCTAGCATAGTATATCATATGCTTTCTTACATTGATAAATATTCATGTAGCTAAACTGCTGAATAGCTTTATTCCCTCATGAAAATGTTTATTAGTGGTTAGAAGTTTCAATAAAAAGAGTTGAAAAGATACTGCCTTGTGAAAGCAAACCTTTGAGAGCAGTATAAACCATTTCATTTGACAAAAACAAACAAACAAACAATTAACTGAAAGCCATAAAAATGCCAGTTTTGTTTGTTTCTAATTTGGAATAACCAAATAGAGGTGAGTAACCAATTTTCCCTTATCAGGCAACGTTTATAGACAGTTTTGGTTTCTAGAGGAGTGAGGCTGTGAAGATCTCAGATGTTTTGGCTTTGCCTTTCTTACCCAAAAAGGAATAAAGCATGCTCAAGAATTTATGATGCTGGGAATAAATCCAAAACTTAAAAATAAAACTGAATTTATAAAGCTCTCGTTTAAAATTCCACAAGCAGAAATGAGGTACTTACAGGACTATTAAGTATCATCAGGCACTGGTCAAAATGATGGTGCTCCATGATTGAATGGCAGTAGAGCTGAGCCAGTGGGTGTTCACTTCTGAAAGTAGTTTGTTGAGTAAAGAAAAAAAGGTAAAAAAAAAAAAAGATCAATTTCCCCAGGACATCAGTTTATCAATTTCTTCTTTTTGCTGGTTAAGTGAAAAGGAGGATACTTCACAAAACTAATCCAGCTAACAATTTTCTCTCCTTCTGTGATGAAGAGTGAGGTGATCTCTGGGAAACACATATAGAGAGGCAAGCGGTTCTCAAATACCAATGTAACTACTGCCAGTTCAAAGTATGAACAATTTCATTGGTTTTAATACTCATTAAACCAGTAGAAGGAATAAGGACAAAGGACTACTTTACAAATTAAAAACAAATCTCTGAAATTGCTGTACCAGTAATACTTTTCAATTTCAAAACTGCAGTTAATTTAAAATCTGAAACAAATTTCTATGCAAGCCTTCCCTCTGAAATAAGGCTGAAGGTCAGCGCACTTATGTCTGTGTGTCTGTAACGAAGAATAGAGTTTGCTGAGGTGTGAGTGAAGAGAGAGACAAGGAAAAGGGGGCTGGTTGGCACACAACACCCTCTGAAGGAAGGAAAGAGACAGCTGAGTCAGAAAAGGATCCCCGTGTGGGATCCAGGTTATTTCCGTGCAGGACATCCTGGTAGCTCTCTAAATGGAACAGGGGGAAAACAGCCTTTTGGCTGAGTGAAGCCAGAGGGAGGAATCTTACAGTCAGTTCACGGCATGTAATAGACATTCACAAATCAAGTTCTAAACGACATGTAGTGTCCTCCACCTCGTATTTCCCATGACCCTTCTTCACGAGTGAAAAGAAAGCACAGTTTCTTCTTTAAAAGAAACAGAAAAGGTTATAGTTCCTGAAAGTCTGTTTCTTGGATTCATGGGACAGGGGTCTATGAACTGTAAAGCACAATACAACCGTTGGGTCACACAGCCGGTCTGTTATTTCTTTCTGCTACCACATGAACCATTATTTTACTCTGCACTTCATTTGCTGAAGACAGAGAAGCTACCCAAGACTGAAGTAACACAGCAAAGAAATAAGTAGAGTGAGAGAAACTTAAGGGAAAACAAAAACAGGAAAATGAAAACAAAGGTAAGAGAACAGGTAATCTCATCTACTACTGTTTAGTCCACCACTGACATTGCTGGTCCCCAAACTGCCATGTTTTGCTGCTGTTGTAACTTTTCCCAAAGTAACTCCTGCCTGCGTGTCATCTCTGCTGCTTCCATATTTAGTGAGTTGTTCCGTGAGTCAGATGCTGTGCTTATCACTGGACAATGGGAAGACAATGGATGGAGTAAAATGAGCAGATTTGTAAGAAAAGATAAATTTGCTGGAATCAAGACTGTAGATGCATGGAGACAACTGGGATTCAGTTAGGAGACTAGTGGGAAACTGTTCTAGTAACCGAGGTAAGAGCCTGAAATAGAGTGGTAGAATCCTAAAGAAAGAGAAGCAGAGTTATCCGAGAGCCATTTAGGAGGTAGATTTTTTTGTAATTTGATTCAAATATTTATTGAGCAGCCACGGGGATAAAAAGTTGATTAAAACATGGTCAAAGAGGTGAGGCAAATGCACACGTGCTATAAAGGAGAGCATAAGGTTCAGTGAATCACAGCAGTCAGAAGACTTTGCTTTAGGAGATCAAGAGATTGCCTGCAGCCTGGAAGGAGGTGTGGGTGGGAGGCACATCAGGAAAGGGGACTGAGATAAAATAGAAGACTTCAGTCTGGACTATTGACGGTACTCAGTCTGGACTGTATTTGTCTCTCCTTTCCCTCTCTCCCCATCTCCAGGCTTACTTTACCAGTCGTGCCCAGATGTGTTCACTGCACTTTTTCTCTGTAGGAGCTGGCAGTGAATCCCGAGGTTGGGAGCTAGTGGGGAGGAGGGAGATGAAGGGGAAAGTCAGGAGATTAAGTTTCTGCCTTGTCATTTATTGACAAAAATGGGGAGAAGATGATTAGGGATGGGGGATGAAGATGGCTGGTGGGGCGTGGGCTCTATTGATGTCAAGGTGCCTGAGGTATCCCCAAGAGGGTCTCAATGTCTGCACTCAGGTCTGGGCTGGAGAAATGGATTTGGATCACATCAGCATGCTTGGTAATCCAAGCCATGGGAGTAGATGAGGGTGCAGGAGATGGCCTGGAATAACAGAGGGCCTGGCGTCCACAGAATCCGCGATCTCCCTAAAGTCAACTTCAACATAACAACTGCAGCTTTCCTCATTCCCTTCACTGAGAAAAGGAAATGCTTCCAGAATATCTTGTTATTTTCCTTTATATAAGGAATTCAAAGACATATAGTACTAGCTTCATAACAGTCTTATGCTGTCAGGTGTTAAGTGTTTTTAAGTCTATTACCCTGTTAGACTGTAAACTTCAACAGTTTGATAGATTTGTTTTCCCTGATGAAAACAATTACTATTAAATGAGAGCCTGTATATAACAGGTACTGTGCTAAGTAGTTTATACTTAATTTTTACAATAATCCCACATAGGACACTTCAGCTCACTGCATCAAAGCCCTCGGTCCCACCTCACAGTCCAGCCACTGGTGCAGTGGCTGGCTTCACGCGTGCTGTAGCAGACTACACGAGGGGCCCCTCACAAGGTTACCCTGCCCTGGCCCTCGGGGAACACCTCTCACTTCTGCCCTCCCAGCTGGTGCCACAGGAGCTCTCTCTACACTCATGCTAGTCCAGCCTGCAGTGTGAAGAGTTAAGGCCTATGCGGTCACCTTTGACTAGTGTGGGTTTGGAAGCCTGTGGATAGCTGCCCCTCCCTGTTCTGTCTCTGTCGGTTGGGGAACAGTTCTGGGTCTCATTTCATAAGATGTCTCAGAAGCACCTGGCGGGATTGAACACCAGCTGCCTGGATGGGTGACAGCTGGATACCCCATCCTTTTCCTGCTTTCCCTGCTCTGCTCCCCACTCTCAGGCCTGCATTCCTGCTCCCTGGGACCGTGTGCGCAAGTAAGCTAGATGCCTGCATGCCAGCTTTGGTCTCAGGCTGTGCCTCCAGAGTGACTCAGGCTGAGACCTCTCTAAAACTGGCATTCTAGCATTTGTTCTTTAGATGACTAGAAATTCAGAGAGATTATCTCACTTGTTCACGGCCAATATAAATGGCAGAGCTGGGATTCAAGTACATCCTCTTGAACATACACTGGCTTGTGACCCATGGCACTCTGCACACAGTATCCACTCACTGACCTAGTTAGAAGCCAGGCTAGAAGTGCGATTAGGCGGATGTAACACAAACACATTTAAAACTTCAAATGCACGTTACATTTTTAGAGAATGCAGAAAGGACTGTTTCACATTAGAGAAAATTCTTGGCTTGTGAGATAGATGAATGCAAATTATGTGTTTGCCTTTACTTACATTCTAAAAATACGGACTTACGAATCAATGAAAGGGTGACAAATGCTCCAAATTTCCTGTTTACAAAGATGTTCATGGAAACCAGTGTATTCTATATCCTGTTACTTTTTTACTCTTTCAAATACAAGGCTAAGTTGCCTCTTTATTTGAGGTCATGTCAGAAGGACCCATTAAACCACTCCAGCTGCACTTTCATTCCCACGCTGATGTCACTAAGCATTAACGGACTTGCTGCCCTCCCTGCATCTCCTCTTGTCCTGCAGTCGTTGGTTCGTCTCTGAGAGTGGCACCAGGATGCCGGTGCAGAAATCAGATCAACGTTCCAGGAACCTGGAGCTTTAGAAGTCAACAGAAAATGAAAGTTCCGTGGGAAAACCAAGTCCTGCCACCCCAGCACAGTATCCCTTTCCACTGAATCGAACAACTGTCCTTGAAATTTGGCTTCTCATCCATACATGTTGCTCTGGGTTCAAATCTCTTAACTATTCCTTGTAGCCCTTGTCAACCCATTGGATTCTTAACGTGACAATTTCTCTCCAAATCATCACTACTGTCTTCCATCAGTCTGTGATCACATTCATAGATACTCAAGTGGACGATTCTTTAACCTTGTGACTCCAGTTGTTTGACCTCCTTGACCCTGGCTGATTGTTTTTTTCCCACTTCCTCTCTGTTTCACAGCTCTGAGGTGCCGCTAGGCATAGTCTCTTTGCTACTCCTCAATACACCCAAGGGACCAAGCAAGATCTTGAACTTTTATCTGTCCTTAATAGTGTCCTCCTGTGACAGAAGCTAAAACCTGTAGAGCATGTAATCTGTGCCAGGTACTGTTCCAAGCACCTTGCACCTATTTATACTTCTTAATCCTTGTCAGAAGCCCTGTGAGACCAGTGCTGCCATTATTCTACTATACAGAGAAGGCAACAAAGGGAGGGAGGTGAAATGACTTGCCCAAGGTCACATGGTGAGAGGAGGAGGCAGGCATTGGACTAGCATTGGCTCCATAACCATCACAGCTCCGTGTGCTGGTCTAAGGACTCACTGAGCTCATATATGTGTATAGTCTTTCTCTTCATTCTGCAAATAGTATAAAAGTCCACAAGGAATGGGCTGTTGCTTGTGTGTCTCCAGTGCTTTAGGGAGACAGGACTGAGCCTCCTGGAATGTTAGAGGAATATCTCAAAAAGCTAGCAGTAACTCCTGTGCCAAGTCTGATGGCCCAATTCAAATCGTGGGCATATCCTCAGATGTGTGGTAGGGCTTGGGCTCCAGCTCTCGTGGAGGAATAGGGGTGGAAACTGTTTTGAGATGACAACTGAGCAAAAGAAGACCCAGCACTATATATATATATCTCACACATAAAGTGCTAGAAGGAATTCCAAAATGATAAGGGCTGTGTTAAGTGTTTGGTTCTATTATTATTATTACTATTATTATTAGCTATGGACATTAGGACTAACTGAACTTGCACTTTATTCATGCTCAGATCTCTGGTCTCGCAAGCCCTCCAACCTTATCAGGGATGATCTCATTCCTGGCTAAAACAGACTCTACCCAGTTTGAACTTCACAAATTGTGACTCCTGTGCCGTCTCCACTGCCCCTGGAAGTCTCTCAGAGCTGCTGACCCTGTATTACCACGGCGCCCATTCACAACTCCAGCTCACTCCTTTTCCTCTATTACAGAGCAGAGAGGACCATGGTGCAGAACGAGCTCTTTCAGGACAAAAATACATAATCTGATTGTGGTTACCAGGAAATTCTTTTATTCTGATTTTGCTGAATCTCTAATCTATCTTGGGAAAAAAAACCCATATCCATTTGGTCATTTTACCTCTTCCAGCCACCATCCTCTTCATTATTTTCTCCTCACTGCCAAAACTCCTCTCCCCTCCACCTTCCCTCCCAAAGGACATACACATGGATACACCCTTCCCAGGCCTTTCATCGTTACCAATGGCACCATCACTATTCCGTTTCTTGGACTGGGAGTCATGACTTTCCCGCTTCCTTCATACATGTAACTAGCCATTCAATATTAAATTTAAAAACTCTCTCCTTCGGTCTCTTCCTCCCTCTGGCCAATAAGTGATGTTCACATGCACCTGGCTTGCTGTAACAGCTTTCTAGCTGAACTCTGTGGTTCTATTTATCACCCATGTACCCTGTACCTTCCTTTCATCCTTTTCTTCCTACACAATGTCTTTATCACCCACTGCAGTGGCTCCCTGTCCTTTCACTATACCAAGTGTAAAATGCTTAGAGCACCCCCCCCCAGAAGGGTCTTATAACTTCCGCTTGTTCATCCTCTTACTCTCCATTCCTAGTCAGTGGACCTTCTGACTAGTCAGGCTAACCATCATCACTGTCCCGTGAAAGCCTCATAGTGTTTCTGGTATATCTTCATGCTTTCTCCTCTCCAAATCCTACCCACTGCAAAGATCCAGTTCAAGCCTCACTTCTTCCATTAACAGTAAAGATGGATTATGCTGATCATGGCCAATCTCCTCTTCTATTGAACACTTACAGTCCATGTTATTAAACAACATAGTATTTATTAGATCCTTCCTTGTGTTAGTCACCACTGTTTCATGAGACTACCAAAATTCCTTGATAACAGGAACTACATTTTACACTTTTATAGCTCTCTTTCCACCTAGCACAGTGCCAGGCCCCAGTAACTGCATATTATCCATCTGCCTAAAATGTAGGATAATTTCACTGTATTTATATTTAGAAAACACCGAGCCTGAATCTAACCAAATAAATGCATCTACAACAGTCGTCTCATATTGACTGCAAGCCTAATGCAGGACATTTCTCTGCATAAGCAAGTATCTGTACTTTGGCCATTTTGTTCTTATTACTGCCTATTTTTTAAAGAATAGAGTATCTGTCTGAAGTCACCCTTTCCTTCACCCGCCCATGTGGGAGAAGGAACCACAGGCAGTGAACTGTTCCCCCAGACATCTCACTGGCGTACTTGTTACTTCTCATAAGGGCGGTCTTCCTATGCCAGGAAGGAAGCAAAGCCTCAGATAATGAAGCAAAACACTGTTTCCTAAACAAGGAATATCTCACTTCAAATTAATTTTCTGAAAAAAAGTTCAAGAAGAATGAATGACAGAAGTTCCACTTCTAACTCTGCTACCACAACAAGGGCTATTTCTCTTTTCGATATGTCACTTCTATTTCTGTGCCTTCTTTGTTTTGGTTTTCTTTATAGAGTGTCTGAGTATCTGATGAGGTCTGGACACGAACACCTTTTCAGAAGCTACATGGAAATGTTTCTGGTACTCTTAATCTCCCGAGAGTCCCCTGGTTAAGAAGACCCCACCTGAGGTGTCAGTCATTTATCACTAAGGAAAGAGAAAAGAAACATCCCTGGAAAATTCTCGGCTTCCTCTCCTCAAACCACAGGGAAGTAAGGAAAAAGAACCCCTTTACTTTTTTTTACAGTTATTATTCCTTGGTGGAGTCTGTTTTGTGGTGTGTGCGAAAGCAAGATTCCGCAGTCTGACTTTTTCCCAGGGCTTTTTTTTTTGAAGAGAAGATGACGTGTCTCCAGATGTTTTCCCGGGCAATTATTTTTAAGAAAACAAAGAGGGAAGTAGCTGCGTGTTCCTTTCACTCTAAATAAAGCAGGGCAAGATGGTGCCTTAGAGCACTCCATACCGTAATAATCCACATCCTAGTAACACTACGCCCAGCTCTGAGGGAGGGAGAGGAGGCAGCACTGCGGCTCTGCGGCTCTGGTCTGCAGGCCACGCTTGGCCCTGTGCTGTAAATCTTTTCACATCCTCGTTTCCTGTCCTAACGACTCCTGTGTTGATAGGAGGCTCAGGACCACCATCACATGACAGAGCACAGGGGGCAAAGGCCATGTCACTCGTCAGTTCTCCAAAACGTTAGATTTTAAAGAGGAAACGGCCAGGCTCTGACAGGCAGGCAAGAGCCTGCTATCTCTTCCCATCTAAGGTCAGCAGAGGACATGGTTGCTACATCGCTGTAATTCTTTTCACATGAAGTTTTCTGTTTACTGTATTTAGATAAAAGGAATGTGATTAGGGAGCTTTCTGAACTTCCCTCAAGAGATCAGACATCTCGACTTTCCTAGAGAGAGCTATGTACTAGTGGAATCACTTGCATACTGAAAAAAAAAGCTCAGTAGTTAGCAGTTTCGCCATTAAAATGTAGGCCTTTCAACTAACTTGCTGCAGGAAAATAAAAATGTCACAGTGGCTCAAAGATCTGATGAAAAGTGGTATCACCTTTATTATCTCATTTGTCGCTGCAAATGGTACTTAAGCACGGTCCGTCCGCACAGGGGGCTGAAAAACTTGTCTGAACTAGCATCTGTGGCTAAGACTTATTTAACACTTAAATATTTATCAGGCATTCTAGCTGGTATGGATGTGTGTTATCTTCTAAAACGTACATCAACCCGATGAGGTAGGTATGCTATTATCTTGACTTCACAAATCAGGAAGTTGAGGTTTAGAGAGATGAGCGCCCCTGCCCACAGACACACAAGAACTTACCTGAATCCCAGTCTGACTGCAAGCTCTCCAGCACTGGCCTCTACTTCCTTCACTAAGACCAAAAGCCTCTTTCTAGTCAGCACTTACTAAACAAGAACCTAGGATCCAAGCTAAGCACCTTTCAAATATTATCTTTTATTCCAGGGTGAAATTCCACCCTTTCTGTACTAGTCATAATAGTTTTCCAATGAAGCTCTTAAGCTGGATGCACATAAACTAAAACAAACTCTTGGTAATTACCTAATGAAATAAGATTCTCAGCATAAATATTTTTGAATTTCAGGCCAGAAATGTTACCAGTACAATACTGGACATGCATTATTTTTCCCATCTTAAATGAAACCAGAGTATGTTATGAACCCTGATCAACTGAAATTTTGAACCATCAAATTTTGCTGTGGGTTTTACTTTTAAAAAGACAGCCCTACAATTTAAAAGAAACATTTTCTTCTTTTGCTAGGGCAAATGCCTTACCGCTGTATGTAAGAGTTATTCACACCACGGTGATCCAAATCGTGGCTTAAGGCAGCAATCAGCAGTGCAAGTATCTCCAGGTCAGTCAGCCTGTTCTGCACGACCAAAGACATTGGAGGAAAGAAAGAGAAAGAACAATTTGGTAAAACGCATTACACTACCTCTTTTCACCAATTGTGTTTTTTTTCTCAGTACTTTATATATGTTTCTTTATAGTCACAAAGGACTCATGCTAGAATCCTGTTCTGCAGGGAATCAGTTGTACTTTGTCTTCAGAATAGAATTATTATTATCAACAGAAAAAGCTGAAATGCCTCAAACAATAATCTGTCCATCTATACTAAATATTTTAAATTCTTAATTATATACATGTATGTGGAGTGACTCAAATAAACTTCATTAATTTTTTTATTTACTAAAATGTAATTTTCTGCTCTTTGCAGTTTTGTTTTGTTTTTACTAATACGAATGCTTTCTAAATTATTCTCTTTAATTTTATGACATTGACTGATGGTTGATCATTTCAAAAAAACTTTAAATAATTGTTTCCTCTCTGACTTTTAGTTCTCTGCAGATTCTGCTGCCTTCACTCTCTACTATCAGTTGCTGTATCCTTAAGGAGCACAGACAATGTGAATATTAGCAAAACAACAGAAAAAAGAGGATTAGAAATGAAAATTTGGCTTTAAAACATTGCACGATATATTCCAGTCAAATATAGGTTATTTTTTAATACCTGCCATTTGAATTATCTATATTACTGTTCTTCATTAGTAAGAAAACACAAGTTGAAATTATTATCAGCTCTGTTCTGCTGGAACTCTCAACACTCTATACAGAGTTATCTTCAACATACACAAAAATCACCGTTTTTTTATTCTTCACAAAAAGCAAGGAGTCTTCAGTGGTCTGGTCCTTGTGAACTTCCCATACCCCAAAATAAGTTTACCCTATTTCTTATAAATGTTTGCTATGGCAGGAAAACACTACTATGGTGTTTTCATAGGGCTTCTCAGACAAAAACCACTTTTTTAAGCTCTAGCCAGTCAAAATGTGCACCCTATGAAAGTAGAGACAAAGAATAATATTTTTAGAATTTACTAAATCAAAAGAGCATGAAAGCTCTGAATTAAAAAGTTATATGATGGATGCCTGGAACCACTTCCCTAGAATAACTAGTCGATTCCCACTGAAGTTAGGATCTAAGGACACAGATACGAAAAATTTGGCCTGGAAAGGAGTGAATTACTTCAACGTTTTCTGCACTGATCTTCCTTGTAGACAGTCTCTGGTCAATGTATATGAAACCAAAACCCTTTCCATGAAACAGTACTTATAAAATTTAACAGAGGGCTCCAGAGAAAAGGCAATAGAGAACACTAGACTCATCTATGGAGCCAGGTGCAGGCACTGAGTAGTTTTTGAGGAATTCTACTATGCAGCAGGTTGAATGGGAGCAGAAGAAATTTGATACTTTTTCTTATATGGTAGGGTTTTCCTTGAAGGAAGTATTTATTTGTCCAAACACTATTAAGTTTAACATTGGAGTTACTGTAAAGATTTTTTTTAAAGCCATATATATTATATATGAAAGAAAATTAATAAGTAATTTGCCATACTAATCTTCATAATTCACAAAATGTAACTTATTTTGTAAGGGGCAATAAATATTATTCTCAATCATCATTAGTGCACATTAAAAAAAACTTAAAAGAAGATGCTATAAATTTTACTACTAAAGCAACAAAATGTTTTAAATACATAAATGGCTCTAATAAGTACCTGAATTTTGCCTGCTTTCAGTGCAGCAAACATGCACTGAGCTGTATTAAAGGCATGTCTCCAATTATGATAGGCAACATTCTTCCGATAGTTCTTCTTAACACTTAAAATCCACCTGCAAAGAACCTTTAGGAAATAGAGCATAAGGAGTAATAATAATTGCTAACGTTTATCACACATGTATTAATCTTAATGTACTGTACAGAGCATTTACGTCTAACCCTTGGGACTCTGAGGGAGTCACTACTACTTTGATCATTTTACAGATTAGGAAACTGACATTCAGGGAGGTAACCTGCCCAAGGTCACGGTGATAGTAAAGGCTGGGGCCAAAATTCAAACCTGAGCAGCTTGACTCCAGAGCCTACCACGCTAACCCCCACGCTAACTAAATTAGATGTAAAATGCAGGGGACCGCTAAGAAAGGTATTTTGTCATGGGGAAGGCACAGACTAGCTTTTTAAAAGATATCATGTCCGTGTGTCATGAATTAGGAGAGTCCAAATAGTCACCCGTGCACGGATTCACTTTCAGAGAGCCATGCAAGAAGCCTCTCTCCAGCTCTTCTCTGATCCCATTCTGTCAGTCTGCAAAGGCATATGTTTCAGGCTCTGGGGGTGGGTTGGGAGCAATGCACACAGCATATGCCCAAGGACAAATTGGAACTCCAAGTCCTGACCCTTGTCCTTTTTAAACCATGCTTAAATTTTCAGGCAGAATTACTGCTTGGTTACCAAGAACTAATTTAAAAAAATAATATATGCAAATGCAAAATAAAGCCCTGGTGAGTGAAGTGAGTGAGTGAATGAGTGCGTGCGTGCGTGCGTGCGTGCATGTGTGTGTGTGTATTTTAATGTATACATTTTAAAAGTTGGGAGAAAAAAGGATAGAATGTTCAGAAAACCTCACAAGCTGGGTTTAATTCAGCTCCTAAGTGGTGTGGTCAGTAAAATCTCCAGGGACACATGGGCCCTAAACAAGATAATTTTGTGTTTGTGTTAGCATCAGAGTCTGCCTCTCTTCAGTTCTGAAAGATTTACTATACTTTTGGGAATCTTTAAAAATAAATATGTGCTTCTCCTGACGTATATCACTGGAGATATTTCAAACACAAAGGCAGTGCCCTGGGGAGTGGGAAAAGTACCAGGGGAAAGAATGTTGCTTTAACAATATTCAGCACAGTCTGATTAGCTGCAGAAGTAGGCCAAAAACAAGGTTTCTTCTTTGTTGGTAGAAATCGCCTACAGAGGATTTGGCAGAAAAAAAATCCATGCTTTCATAGCCTCCCTTTTCTTTTCAGATCTCTTTGTTCCTGTTCTATGACGCAGTTCACAGGGAAATCTGATAAAAAGAACCCGAATGTTCCCTTGTTCTTTCACCCTGAGTAACTGTATCTTGCAGAGGATTTCTGTGTGCATAAGACTGACATGTGCTAACTTGAAGTGCACTGCAGACCTTTCATCATGACCATTTCTGAACAAAGTCAGCCCCAAAGATGACAGATTCATCTTATTAGGAGAATTTTAAATAATGCTATTGACTTTGACATGCTTAGAAACTATACACTGAAATGTAAAAAATTACTGGTGACTAATTAAAGAATCAAGGAAAATAAGCAGGAAAACCTAGAAATTTAACCCATGGACATATCTCTTTACTAATCATAAATCTGTAGGTATAACTAAATAGGCATATATATCATATAATGTAAATGGTGATAAAAATGACTCTATGAAACATAATTCTTGATGGACTACTCTACTATGCTCCTATTAAGATGGGCCTATTGAATTTGGTAACCCAATGGCTACCCACTGTATCTAGTAATTAGTAACTAAACTTAAGTGCAGTTTTGGATTCTTTTATGAGGGTGTTCTTAACAGCATTTAGGAAAATTATGGTTAGATCTGCTAACTGCCTTGTAGATAAGCCCGGCACATTCAAATCTGTAGAACAGTCTTCTGTACAGGTCTACTGATGATTACGTACAGTCTGGATGACCCTAGGAAGCACACTCAATACATCAAATCAGTTTCCAACAATTACAAAAGCTTCTTAAGTTCTGAGTGGCATACTTAAGATGCTATGGGAGGAAAAAAAGAAAGAGAAAACATAGCTCGACTCTTGCCTTCAAGAATCTCAATCAGTAGTGAAAATAAAAAAGTGCACATATAAAGGAAATAAATTCACATAAAGTTGAAAGCACAAATTTATTAACTGTCAACAGCATTCCAAGTGGCATGAAGTCAATCCTAGCATTCTCCCAGGAACAGAGACTTGAGTCGGGCTCTGAGGAAGAGAAAAGCACGCTGTGGCATAAAGTGGGGCAGACTTGGAAGTGGCCGCCCATTCAGGGGCGGAATGACACATAAACGACAGAAGGTGAAAATAAGCACAGCACATGCACATCTGTCCCACTGGAGTCAGGAGTCTGTTTCCGGGATCAGCAAGAGTTACAGGAGAGCAAGCCAAGATCTGGAAGCCCGGCAGAGACATGAATATCTGACATATTTTTCAGTAGGAAATATTCTGTGTCAGGGCACTTCATGATGCTGCCATTGTCTCTAGCAAAAACGTATTACTTTTACCATCCTAAAATTATAGTGACAATAATATCTGAAATAAACAGAAGAGTCACCAAGGCAGGAAGGCCAACCAGAATGATGGCGGGCGGTGTTCAAGCTGATGTTGGCCGGAAGTGGAACAGCAGTTATTCTAACAGAATAGGAGAGTGGATGCATGAGACACTGAGGAGAAATAACTGCCTAATGGACAAAAATTCAGGAAAAGGTAAGACTAAAGATGGCAAAAGAAATTTTGAGTGACTATCTTCAGATCCAATACCCAAATGCTACCTAAAAACTTATGCTTTTAAGAAATAAGATATATATCAACTCATAAGAATTTTGTAAACAGACACAAGGATCACATTCCTTTGTCCTGGCCAGGCCCTTTCAACAGGATCGCTACTAGTTTAAAGTATGGGAGGTCTCAGGAATGGAAAGGTTTCTGAGTCACTATCTAGGTCCTGTAACCAGCAAGAAGCAGAACTGAGCTATTCACATTTAGAACTTCTGGCTCTAAATGAGATCTTCATTCTATTAATAGAAAGGACTTTTTAAAAATGAGCCCTATAACCTACAGTAAAGAAACCTGATAGCGTACACACATACACGTGCATGCGTGAGTAATTCTCACGAGACTCCCACAGGGGAAGTCATACCATTATCCCCGGCTAACAGATTACAAAACTGAGAACGTAAGAGATTAGCTGCCCAAGGAAATTAGAGTTAATCACTAGTAGAGCTATGACTCAAAATTCATGAGCTTTCTACTCTATTCTGCCGTCTCAATTTCTTCATTTGTAAAACAGGGACAATCATAACCAAAGAGCCTTTCTTGAGAGCTTCTTAAAATAATTGAATGATACATTGTCTCTTAATCAACATGCTCTAATAGAGTGAAGTATTATTAGAGAAGAGTCTACAGACAGTTGTTCTTTGTTTTCACTCAGTTCTGCACAAGATTGAGGTCAGTAACATAAACTTTGGTTAAAGAAAGAGCCAGATTTGGGCCCCGAGTAATACCATAAATAACACTGTGTTAACCTCAGCTATATTAGTCCTTAGTTTTCATGCCTCAGTGAGGCTTTGAGAGCAGGGACGACTCATCACTGAAATGTGCACCTAGCACAGTGCTGGGGACACTGTTTATTGTTAATAAATTTTCATTTTATGAATTAAAGGATTGCTAAATAGCGGAAGCCTTCAAGGTACTTAAATTTCAGATACGAAATCTCTACAAGGAGACTAGACATTCAACTGACAGAAAAAAAACAGCCTTAAAGGCAAATTACTGACTTTTTTCCCCCAAATGGTCCTTTCTATTCTCCCTTATTCTTTGATACAATACACGTGGCCATTATGAAACAAAATAGAATCCCCTGATAACTCCCAACTGATATTAGAAGGTATTGATTTCAGTCTCGCTATTTTCTGAGAGGTGAATAAGGTAATCAACTGGGGTTAAAATCAGTTTTCATCTTTGTGGGTGACCCTGCTCGAACCAAGAGCCTCGCTTCACATCAACCCCTTTACTCCCTCATTTCCAAAGGAGTTCACTATCTTTTTGGTCCTTCTTTCTACTGTGTTATAACCTCCCCAATCAGATCATGTTACTTCCCTGCTTAAAGTTCCTCAGTGACTCAGGATCAGATCTAAATTCCTCTGAATAGCTTACAAGGTGCTACATGACTTGCTTCTTACCTTCCTCTCTGATCGCATTTCTCGCCACTTTCACCCTCAACTAGCGCTCCACGGCCCCGCCCCCTCCCTTCTGTCGTCCCGCCTTTGCACATCCTGCTCTCACTGTTGGGGACACTCTCCCCTGTTCTTCAGCCTGGTGCTTGATACATGTAGGAACCCGTTCCTGTGCTTTTAATGGTTGATTTTTTTCTTTAAAAATCTCAGCTGTACATTAGGTGACAGTTTATGAATCATGGAAACTGAAAAATCCTTATTCCATACTAGTATCCAAAACTAATTTTCTCTCTTCACACACACACACTTTTGTCACTGCATTCCTACCTCATGTTTCATCTGGAAGTTCTGCACAAGGTTGAGGTCAGTGAACATCCGGATTGTGCACAGTGCCGTTTCCAGGTCAGACAGCTCAAAGTCACTGAAGCTGAAATCAGTGATTTTAAGGGTCTGGGCAGATGGTACCACAGCAGCCTTAGGTAAGGGGAGAAGAAGAAAATGAAATAAAGCTGTTAATTAAAGCAGCAGTGAGTCATAAAGTTTTCTTGCTTTGCTATGGGGAAAAAGTACATTGTGGTTTTTTTTTTTTCCTTTTTAATGCAATACACTAGAAATCTTTTCATATAGGAGCTTAGGAGCTACTCCTGTTTTTTTGTTTTGTTTTGTTTTGTTTTTAATCTGAGCCACACGCAGGTAACTAATAATTGTTCTGGGTAAGCCAGGAGAAGAGAGGGTGACTATACCTAGAACAGCAGGCAGAACTAAGGACTCCAGTTATCCAGCCCCTTTATACATCCACAGTGTTATTTGTTCAACAGATATTTACTGAGTAACTATTCTGGACCTGTCTCAGTACCATGAGCTGAAAATCAAGTGGTGAGCAGGATAATGATAATGTTCCAAGCACTTTATGTTTAATTAGCAAGACAACCTTATGAAACAGATACTGTAGCTCCATTTTTCAAGTACAGAAACTTGAGCATGGAGGACCACATCCTACCCACCACAGCCCAGGCAGTTAAGGAATAGAGCCCAGCTTCCAGCGCAGGCAGACTACACAGCTCTCAAATTTGACACAATCTCTACAGACTAACAGAACATCCTTCACCCAAGCCTGATTATAAGAATCACCTAGGGTGCCCACTGAAAGTACTCAGTGGTTCTGATTCAGTAGGTCTGGGATGGGTTGAGAAGCTGGTTTTGTTTTTTTGGAGAGGGATTGTTTTTTAATTAACATCCTTGGTTTTGATTTGTTAATCATTTATTTATAGTAAACACCTGCTATTTCTTCAATACACCTTGCTCTTTTTCATCAGTGTTCCTTTTACCTCCTGCTTCTCATACTCTCTTTAACTGGAGGACTTCTTGAAGGCACAGCTCCCACCCAAAGAAGAGTTATTAAATGCCCTTCAGAGCTAACCCTACCTTGGGAATTCCTATTTAATCACACAAAGTTCACTATAATGTAATTTCCTGTTTGTCTCCTAAATACACTGCAACCAACAGGTGGGGCGGTATCTAACACATCTTTGTTTCCATTGTGACTACTGATAGATACAGTTTTAATATTTGTTAACTGAATATGTATTAAATAAATGGGAGGGAAAAATCTCATTCCCTTCACTTAATTTGAGTCGTTAAGTTCTAGGAGGGTAAAGCCCATTAACCTGAAATCAGAAAACTAGCAGACTGGGATGTGCATTCCAATCTAAGTTTTGTTTGGTACTGAATATTTTTTAAAAATCACCAAATTTGTTACACTGTTTAAAAATTGGGCAATTTTAACAACAACAAAAAGGGTTTCTGGCACCTTCTGAAAAATCAGGCCACACTGAACCCAAATCACATGAAGCAGCACTGGCCACAGCCAAGGCGCCCTGACTCCCTTAGACTGAGCCGGCTTCTCTCCCATATTTCCTGGTGGCCACTCGCGGGCGTCAGAACCTACTGGAACTCTGACTCCTCCACCCCCTTGACTGTTCACTCTGCCGGCACTTTACCTGCCCCAGCCAGGTGGGCCAGATTCACCTGATGAAAAGAGGCTTGAACTTGGTGTGGGGGAGATGCAAGAAAAGTGAAGAAATCTGAACCAGGTTCCTTCCCTTTAATGTTTTTGATCTTGATCTCCTCCAAACCCCTTAAGTTTCTGCTGAGTATCCAGCACATCAGTATGCTCTGCTTTACCTCCATCTTTTACGAAGTAAAAAGGTCAAAATAGTAAGACCTCAGGGAGCAATCTAGAGCTTTCCCCTCCCAAGCCGGGGGCACTTGCATAGTCTCTGCTCATCTTGACCTTCATGTTACTGTTACGTACCAGATGTGTCTAAACTTTAAAACAATGTCACCCTCTTCATACTCCAAAGTAAGAGTCCTTCCCCAAGCCCCAAACTGTCGAGAAATGCATTCCTTTCAGTCATTTCCACAGGCTAATGCGTGGGCTGGACTAGGGGAAGAGAGGAGGACTGAAACTGTTTAGATAAAGGGCTGCCTTGTTTACGCCAGCCCCCAACATCAGAGATGGAGCAGAGGACTCCAGGGGAACTCGGAAGTGCGGAGGTGGGAGTAACCCACCTTTTAACTCAAAGCAGATCACAACTGTCTCCCTTAAACACTGCATGAGAGAACAGATGTTTGTTCCTTAGGGCATCATTATTCTTACAGCAGGAAGTTTTCTTTTTTTCCTTCTACAAAGGATATTCTAAACGCTATGGGATAAAGACAGCCAGCATGGCTTGTGCCTCGCTCCACTCTCTACTGAGAGAAAAGAATCCTTTCTTTTGCTCGTTCGGCCACGCCACAGCACACCTTTCTGAGCTGACCTAGGGGGAAAGGCCGACACTTTCCTTCAGAAGCTTTGGTCAGTGATACAGAGGTTCAGAATTCTTGGGATCGATTACTAACAAGCCACGAGAAAGTCACATGTCATTTGTCAGCTGCTGCTTTGAACATCGCAAGAGAATTCAACTTTCTTTCTGCCCTGAAACGGCTTGGGATAAAGGGGGTTTTAAGCAAAACACTGCCTGTCATTCTAACTTACCATTTAATAAAATACTCTCCATCTTACTAATAGCAGGCGGAAGAGTACGTGGTATTTCTGGGAGAGGTTATGGATGTACAGTTCTGGATTTTCACAGCTTTTCCTTTCAGTGATGGTATGATTTGTTAGAATTTGTACAGTGAGATTTCTGACTTTTTCTTCAGGAGATGATACAACTTACTGCACTTGCTATTGAAGATGAACAAATAATACATTTTATTCTGTGATGCAGTAAGGTGCTATACCTGTGTATATGTATTACAGGTGACAACACAATTCAAAACTTCCGGAACTATGATACTACCTGATACAACTCATTCCTCCACATATGAGAGCACAATGCCTGTCTTCTCAGGCAGGAGCATTTAGCTGTTTTAGTGCTTAGTCTGAATATAGTTAAGTCCTTCTAAAGTTGAGAATTCTAATTTGTGTCAAATTAACCAAATATGGAATGCAAAAAATACACAAAACTCCCTGGGTTAAAAGTTTAACCTGGCAAACAGTTTGGTAGTATAATGTCATTTTTCTTCTGAGTTCTTTAATTACATCTGCCACTCAAACTAATAAAGAAACTAGTTGCCTCTCATGACTCTTTAGAGGAAATTCTTCATTAAGCCCTTTTATATGACTTTTTTTCTACTGCCTTGGTCCCTTTTCACCATCCTTCTAAAATGTAAAACCGAATGAAAATAACCAACCAACTCTGGAAGTGAAGTCTGCTAAGAGTGGAACTGGAAGTACCTTTGGCAACAGGATTCAACTGGGTTAAAAGAAGCAGTATTCAGATTATAAAAATATTTTAGTTGCTCAGTGATCCTTCACCAAAACCAGTTGTTTTGAATACCACCTGATTGATAAGGAGCTAAATAAACTGGTCATCAGGAGGCAAAATCCTGTATCAGCTACCACATTTGCATTTTGGCATTAGACAATGATCATAAAAAGAAAAACCTGAAAGCAAGATGAAACACATGGTAAAAAGGAATGTTTGCTATTAGGGGTTCTAGTCCTGATGTTCCACTGACTTTGTCACCCTGAACAAGATGTTCCACTTCTCTGCCTATCTTCTCACCTGTAAAGTGTGGTGGATGGATTAGACTGTCTCTAAGGTATAATTTATCTGTGTCCACAGGGCTCCAGGATTTCTTACTGCCTTCTCACTTTACAACCCAATGCCACCCTCTGAGTGGCATCGAAATCTTGCCAGTGACCTTCCTGTACAAGGCCCAAGCTCTGTCTCCGACTCTCTTATCCTTTCAAGTAAATGGACGGGGCACCTTAGCTGTTATGGTTGTCTTTTTCATGCTTGATTCCTCACACATGTCACTCTGTCTGGCTTGCTCACACGACTGGCTTAGATAGAGGATCCCAAACTCTGCATGAGTGCAGAGGAGGCTTGGGCTAGGTATGTAGTAGCTTCTATACTTACTGCAGTAACACTCTAAATGAAAAGTTGAGTTTTTAGACACTGCCATCTATTTTTTTTTTATGCAAGGGTGGGGAAGTATCTATATTTTTGCCAATTTTTTTTCGAGGTTAAATAACACACACACATACACTCTCACTTCTGGGCCTGTTTAACTGTTTCTCCTCCTCTGCCAGGAATACATCCCCTCACGTTTTCATATAGCTAGTTCTTCTTCATTGTTTATGTTTCAGCTGCACCAGAGAGACATTCACTGGTCCCTGTGGTAGATACTGCAGCAAGACTCCGTTAACCTGACACCTATTTTAACCTTTATCTAGTGAGCCTTCATTTTCTGAAGAGTCAAGAAAGCTCAAAAATATATTTTCCTGATTCCTTTGCAGCTAGGGTTCCAGGTAGATTTTGGTTTCTTCAGTGAGGTATATCTGAGTGAGACCTGAATTTCAAACTAACATATAGTGCCTACCACACGAGGAACCCCTCACCGACCCCCCCCCTTTTTTTTTAACATGGATCTAGAGGGTGTAATGCTGCTGTAGAGATGGCAGTTTTGGCCAGACTATGTTGTGATGGTTGATTCTGGAAGGAGGAGATAGCTCAGTGGCTTTCTGATTCTGGCCTACATGGAAGTTCCCATTGTGCACTAGATCTGGTTTGGTTTTGGGATTCATTCCTGGGGTCATTCATCCACCCCCTCCAATGATTTGAAAGCACCTAATTACATTCTTTTCTGCTTCAAATAGCTAAAGCAGTTTCTGTTATCTGTAATTGAACTACATTAGGCAAAGTGTTGGCAGGCAACAAATTCTCAAGGCTAGGAATTTGGTATTAGACAGTTGGCTTTGTTGGGTTTGCAGGCAGAATGGAATCAGGTTTCCAAGAGAGCAGTGGCTCTCAATGTTTGGTCCCTGCAGCAGCAGCATCTGAGAACTTGTTAAAGATGCAAATTTGCGCGTCCCAACACAGACCGACTCAATCAGAAACTCTGGGAGTGGGGCTCAGCCGTCTGTG